TTAATTGGATAAATATAGCCAAAACAAGAATAGTCATCTGTGAATGTTATAAATGAATCATAACCATCCACACTCTTCACAGAAAAAGGACCACATATGTCTGTGTGGATTATTTCTAAAATTCTGCGCTTCGTTTGCCATCTTTCTTTATTTTCTTAACATACTTTCCTTTTATACAATCTATGCATTGTTCTAAATCTGAAAATTCTAAAGGCGGAAGAATTGATTTCTTAATCAATCGCTCTATTCTCCCCTCGAAATATGTCCTAAACGACAGTGCCATAATTTCGAAGATACATAATGCACTCTCTTCCGCTTATTTGTTGCATTCATAGACGAGGAAGTATTCTTATTCTCAGTACTTACATCATTGACATTCTCAGAAAATGATAATAAATAAAGCTTGTCTTGTTGGAAGGCAAGACCAACACATTTATTATTATAAACAATCTAACATTTGCTATTACCAAAATGGCAATCATATCCATCGTCATCTAAACGTGAAACACTTATTAAGTTTCTTCACAAAGAGGGTACAAATAGAACATCTGAAAGCTTAAGTAGAAAACCATCAACTAATTCTAGAGAAAGATTTCCAATGACTTCAACTCCATTTGCTACTTTAATTCTTCTTTCTCCTCTTTGTAGGGTCCTCCTCGTACGGAATCACTGCAATGAATTTGCAACATAAACAGTTGCACCTGAATCAATCAACCAAGTAGATTTTACATAACTTAAATACAAGGATTCGTCTATGAATGTAATGAAATCCTCACCTCTCTTCAGCAGGTTCTTCAAGAAGTCTGGACAATCCCTCTGGTAGTGTCCATGCTTCTTGCACCATTTGCACTGATCCTTCTCAACTTGAGCATTGGAGTTCTTCTGATGGTGCTCAGTCTGAGGGGCTTTCCCTTGAGGTTTGGCATTCTTATTAAAGTTCTTTTTCTTGTCCTTGACAAGGTTAGCAGAGTCACTCTACAAGGACTTCAACCTTTCCTCTTCTTAAACACACATTGCGATGAGCTTTTCTATATCCCACTTGTTGGGCTGCATGTTGTAGTTAACAACAAATGTTTCATATTCCTTTGGCAACGAAGCAAAAACCAAATGAAGGAACTCATCCTTAAGCCCCAAATCCATTGGCTTCAGCTTCGAAGCCGTGTTGCTCATCTTCAAAATGTGCTCTCTAATACCGCCACCAGTATATTTCTCATTGAATAATTTCTTGATCAATATACTAGCATAAGCCTTGGAAGAGCTAGTGAACTGACTCTCCACCTTCTTAAGGTACTCAGTGGCGGTATCACAGTCTGGGATAGACCCCCTTATAGCATCTAAAATAGCGGACTTAGCCACCATTAAGCACTTGCGGTTTGAGATGTCCCACTTCTTGCGCTCGAGATCATAATTCATGCGCACTTCGCATGATCTCGCTGCCGAGCAGTGAAATCAGCATCAGACTCGTTTTCTTCCCTCACCGGGTCCACTGGCTCGGTAGGACACGGGGAGGTGAGCGCTAAGTCATTCTCGGACAGCTCAAGTGCGAGCTCATACTTCTCTCGCCATACTCTGTAATTGCCCCCTTCAAGGGGTGGTATGTGCTAGATGAATGCTATTGGGTTAAGTCCTGGAAAACATCGTCAGAGATAGTGAGAAAAAATATATTATTATAATTACATGCTTTTAATTTAACGTTGGTCAAAATTAAAACATACAATATTCTTATACACTGATTATACGTCACCGTTGGGCAGAAATAGAATTAATGCATGAAAAACTTATGATTGAATATTATAATACTGCTATTATCAACGTTGGTAAGAAAAATAACAATATTATAATTTACTGATTAAAATTAACTACTCTTCAAATTAAATTCTCCCGTTGGTTCGAATTTAATTAGAAGATTATTAACTTTAACATTATAGCGGAAACATGAAAAAATTCATTATCTATTTTTTAGAAGCAATAAACTTTTCTCAACTATTCTCTGAAAATTATCCCGTTGGTTCAAATTTTAACAGAGATATTAAATAAGACAAAATTCATCGAAATCTGCTTCTGAAGATTAAATAAACTTGAAACTTTATTTACTGTTCATTCTGGCCCGACCTGTAGCAACAGTAACCGGCCTAGAAGCAACAGTGCGCGGCCCAAACTAGCTGAAATAGCAAAATCCGGCCCGGCCTGCACTGTTCGCGCGTGCGCTGTGCTTCCTAGGCCGCAACCTGGGCCTAGGCTGGCAAAGCCGCCCGCCGTGCGCGCCCGCCTGGGCCAAAACTCGGTCCAGTGACTCTCGTCCATTCATCCAAATATGACGGCCAGGCGAGGATTTTGGTTGATCAAAAACCCCCGGCCGGCCGGCGCCCCCAAACCCTAATTCATTTCGCATTCTTCCTTTCTCTCTCTTCGCCGTGCTCCTTCTTCCTCAGCGCGGCAGCAACGAGCGGCGACTGAGCGAAGGGGGAGACCATGGCGTCGTTGCCGGCCCCCTCGCCGGCGTGCGCGCTCCCCACGCGGGTGAGCGCGCCGCCGTCTAGCGGACTAGCGGTGGTGCCCTGATCCCCACGGTGAGGAGCTCCCGAAACCCTAGTTCTGACCCGGCCGCTTCACCTCCTTCTCTATCTCAGCCCCACGACGGCACAGAGTGAGACGATGCGATGACGGCGCCATCGCCGGCCCCCTCATCGGCGCGCGCGCTCCCCAGCGGGTGAGCGTGCCGCCGTCGAGCGGCCTGGCCATGGCGCCCTTGGCTAGAGCACGCGCCCAGCGGCTCGACCCTTCTTCTCACGTGCCGACGAGGCAGCAGCGCGGTACAGTGGTGAAGTATGTCTTTTTCCCTTCCCCGTTTCTTCTTTGATTGGATTTTTCTTCCTTTTCTTCTCGGATCTATCCGATTTCTTTCTTTTCTTCTCGTATCTATCCGATTTAGGGTTGGGGATGGGGTTAGGATCGAGATTAGGGTTAGGGTTTCCTTAACTGTTCATCTTCCCCGAGCGGTTTCTTCACGGGTTAGGGCTCGGTTCGAGTTCTCTTGAAACCGGGACCCCGTTCTTACTGATTTCCTTCATCGATTAGGGTTAGGGTTCGGTGACCCTCTTCTCTTCTCAGATCCGAACGGATCTAATATGTTTTTACCCTTGACATGATCTACATTTAGACAGATGGTTCCGATAGGCTAGATCTACACCTAGGTAGGCGTCTGATACCATTGTTAAACCAAAAATAGGATCACTAGCCATAGATCTAACGAGTATACTTGCTTTTGAATAAAACCGTGAATCCTAAAAGCATCTACTAGTACTGCATCAGAGATAGAATGAGAGAGAGAGAGAGCGGGGTGAAGGGGTGCAAACCATCGGCTGCCTTGGAGGAAGATGGGCTCGCCATCGCAGTGCTTGGCGATAACCCAGTGGCAGTGCAGTAGCGGTGTCGTCCAGGGTCGGTGTAGAGGCCGCAGGGCAGCCCGGCATCGTAGCAGTCCTCCGGCGTGATGCAGAGGCGGTGGCGGCGCTTCCCGTCGCTGGCAGCGCTCCTATATGATCGGTTAGGGTTTAGGACTGTAGGTGGGGTGCTAGGCGGCTCAAGCGAACCTCGTGACTCGAGCGCCTCGGCCTCCACCCTCTATTTATGGCGCTGTGCGACGGGGGCCCACCAACTATATTAGGGTTGGGCGTCCCCGATCAAGATACGGATCCAAAGGTCCAATAGACCGGCCTATTGGTGAAGATCAACTAACATATATGTAATAGGCGTGTGGTATGAAGCGAAGGAGACACTCATTTAACACATCCCAACGACAGCGCTTGTAGATGGACACGGACAGGTACAGCTAGATTGCAAGCAAGGGATAAGATTGTCCAGCAGAGAAACTTTGCATTGAAGTCCCTACAACAGACGGCATGCTCCACGTACACGTACGTACACACTGCACATAAACACATTATTACATGGGCCACACGCTTGATTCCTTTTGCCGTCGCCAACACCAACACCACCCAAGCTTTTCATGTCTTCGATCGATATACAGTCTTTGCAATATCATCACAAAGCTTTTTTTTTAGAGCTGCTCTTGTACATGTATCTACCTATGTTTTGTGCACAGGACATGCATGCAGCCAGCTACATATGCATACATGTACACAAGCAATAAGGCAAACACGAACTAGCTACTTGCAACAGTATATACGTAGTACGCAGCTAGGTCCGATCCACAATAAGTAACTAACTGTACACTAAAAGAATATTGTTCATTCTTGAGCTACTCAATTATTTATTGCATGCATGCTGCACAGTGGGCTATATATGTAGGCCCCAAAACATTTAGGAGAACTTCACTCCCTGATTCTTTAGCTCTGTGATTCTCTGACGGAGTGATTTCATTGGATTCCTAAGATGAAGCAGAGTGAGGAGCTGACGAGAATGGATGCTCTGCTGATCTCCACCAAAATATAAGCTCCTAGCACCTAGTGTAAATGGAGAATTGATTATCTCATGATCCTCGCCTGAATAAGTTGGTGTTTTGAGCGTTTGGCTGGTTGAGAGTGATTTTTTTTTTGAGAAGATAAACTGGAGCTCTGCCAAATGGCGCCGTACACACACGCTTAATTAATTCATCATATTTGAGTGACAATACAAAAGGCACGCAAAGTGTGTGAACATGAACAGAACGTATATGAGTAGTTCATTCACACGCTAGCTAGCTTGTATTATTAGGCTTGATCAATAACAACATATAGATAGGCCCGTTCGCTTCGCTGAAAAAATAAGTCGAAATATTGTTCCGGTCGATTTGTTGTCAAAAAAAAATACTGTTCCAATTGAAAAAACAAGCTAAAAAAAGACGGATTATAAGAGAAGCGAATAAGGCCATAAATAAATAGATATTATATGTAGACAACTAACTAGTAGATTAATTATATTTCTGATCCTATAGTTTATATATTATATTAATTTAAGCGGTGGAAGAAATCAGAGATGATCAACGACATCATCATCATCTATCTGTACTCAAGATCCAAATCGAAGAGATCAGAGCTCGAATCGCTGTCCCAGCTGTGAGCAGGGTTAATATTACCACCAGCAGCAGCATCATCATCATCTCCTTGCAATTGCTCAACCTCAACCAGCTCGTCCTTGATGTTCTGCTGCTCACTTGATGCCGATTCTGCTGCGTCGACATCGAGCATCTTCTGACGGTGCTCCTCGTCGTCCCAAGCGCCGCCGCCGGGCACGCACCTCACCACCCACCTCTCCTCGTCGCCGCCGATGCCCCTCACGACCGTGATGCCCTGCAGCCTCCTGTCCCCCGTCGCCACGCCCAGATCAAGCTCGTCGTCATCGTCGTGCGCGCCGAACAGACCTTGCAGCTGCATGCTGCTCTCGCGCGAGGACGGCGACGGGGAGTTCGCCGCCGCCTTGAAAGTATTATTGGCAGTCTCTTTCTCGCCGTCTGCTGCTGATGCCACCTCCGACTGCCGCAGCCTAGTCGTCGACGATGGGGCCTCCTGCTTCTTGTTCTCCTTGCGAAAGCTAGCTCTCGGCGACGGCGACGGCGACACCATGGAGCTCAAGAGGGCGGCGAGCTTGCTCTTACCTGTTGAAGGCAGCCGCTTGGCGGCTACTACCTGCAGCTGCTTATTGGTGGCGTGGCGCTCTGCGTGATCATGCAACCCAGCAAGCTGCTGCTGATGTGGACCGCGCAAACTGTTGTCCTCCATCGTCATCGTCGTCGTGTCACGCTGCACCACCTTAGCTTGGAAGTACAGCCGGTCGGCAGACGGCTCTGTTGCACTGCCGGGACGACGACAGTCGTCGTCAGGCGCCGGCGGCAGGCTGGCAAAGTAACTCGTCGCCCCGAACACGTCGAGCTCGCCGGAGCTGCCGTGCTCCCGCCGCCGGCTCTGCATCATCATGAGCTGCCTGATGATGTGCTAGATGAGGATGGTGGAATAATGCATTGCGGCGGTCAGGCTGTTGGCTACGTAGACGTGCTAGTAGAGTTAGATCAGTAGGCTTATAAAGGCGATGGAGAAGGCCAGAAGGGTCGAGGGGGGATGCATATATGTCGTGGTGGTGGGGCTGGAATGCTGGACGTGAGGCTGAGAGGGCATGGCCGAGGAATGCGCGGCACCGGTACATCCGGAATTGCAGATCAAATGTCATGTAGCCCGAAAACGAGAGCTTTTAATGGATCAAAGCAGAGTAAGAATCTCATCCTTTTTGTCCGCCCGTCTAGGCGGCTAATCATTGCATTGCAGTGTCTGAATATGGCCATGTCGACTCCACTACACCCGCATGTGACTCTCAAGCTCACTAATAAAGCTAGAAAAACAAATTCCCGTAAGTAGAAGAATGCTGTTGTAACAAAAGAATTCTATTTAGTATAATCATGGACTAATAAAAGCTATTAGGGGCCATTAGGTGGCTACAGCTGATGGAGACGGGTGCCCGATCTTCCATCGTGTGGAAATTGGTGGAGAATTGGCATACTATTCAGCCTCCAATCACAACAAGATCCAAATGATGCAATCGCAGCACTACGTCTCCTTTGGTTATTAACCTTGCACTACCTAGTTGACCTCTCCAAGGCGACTAATCCTTGCCTATTAATCGAAGAACACAAACAAGAATAAGAAAGAACGCAACCGACACTACTATAAATATCATTTGTAGGGACGGCTCATGGGCATTTGTAGGGGCGGTTTGGCCAGCAGCCCTACCAAAGCGTGGCTACAAATCACCGATTTATAGGGACGGTTCCCAGACCGCCCCTACAAATCGATTTGTAGGGGCGGCCGTAGTATCAGTCGCCTCTATAATACCTGTTTGTAGGGGCGGTTCAGTTTAGAACCGCCTCTACATTACATTTTTTCATAAAAAAAAATCAAATTTACAATTCAAATTCGACCAAAACATATATTTTTCATGCACAACTCCATCATGACTTATCTTCTTCTATGATTGTACTGAAACTCAATGACAATACACATTTATTTATACCAGATTATAACAAATATTTCATGACTTATCTTCTTCTGCGATTGTACTAAAGCAAAATCCAGCTAAATTAGATTTAGCGGGACAACTACTGGACATGGGAAAAAGGAAGTACTAAAATATGATTCATCCTATAGATCATGGAGATTTGGGAATTTACAATCAAGGAGAGGGAACTGGATTATTGCTTATGGCAGAAGCTACCCAAGAAAAGAAGTGGCCATACAGTGACCCAAACCCCATTGTTTTATAAAGGGAGCAAGCTTAACTGTAAGACCATTAAGGCTTCATACTATGCTCTGAAGATCCCTCTTCAAATGCTGCAAAAACTTGTCGCTTCCATCTCCATCATCATTCGACAAAAATGAGTCGACATTTTCATCAAAATCAACAAAACTATCCACATCATCCTGTCAGCAACAGAACTCACTTAAGCACAAACAGAGCACAGACAAAACCAGAGAATACATGACATTCAAGATGTAGCAGTCAACAAAGGCTGCAAGGCATTACATACAACAATATGAGGGGATGCACATTAGGATTAACCTTGGTAAGACTCAAACATGGCTTTGGTGCTAGGAGGTCAGTTGCTCTCTTCCAGTAATATGTCGTCCACAGCTGCAATCCCCTTATCTCTGAATCAACAAAGAAGAAAAGAACTTAAGAAAAAAATAGACAAACAATCAGCAATGAAATAACCTTGTTATGAGCATTTCTAGCTTTTTGCCTCGCTTCTTCCATAGAAGCATTAAAACCCTCCTTATCAACAGTCAGCCCATAGTCGATTGCCATGACCTACGCAAAGAAATAATAATAATACATGATAAACATAAAAATGTTCTAGCAAATTAGCTGGTTAAAAGATAAATAACAAATGTAAAACTAACCTCAGTCAAATCAATTGGATAACCATAAGTGTCCCAAAGAACAAATGCATCCTGAAAGAATAAATGAACTATTTAAGTACATCAAATGTAAAGGCAACCCAAACTCAGGAACCATTTCATAGGGAGGAATGCCTAGCCACTAGCCAGGTCCACTCATGCAGCACAACAATTTTCAGTTGCCAAACAAGCATGTGCCTGGCCCAAATGGTGCAAGCACCCCCCTGCCCAAGCTTGGCCCAACAGGTTTAATGGGTCCATAAATCAAATATGCTAATTATGTTGTAATCTGGATGAATGCATACCTAAATCTTTTTGTGATGTACTCTGGATTGATAGATTTTTACTGATGCTAATTACAAGACAAGCTTCACTGATAATGCATAAACAGAACACAACATTACAAGAGAGGGACGCTTCACGGATCATGGAAAAACACAACATACCCAATACACGATAGCAGCCTAAATGGGAACGCACAAGAGCATCAGGAATCAACGCGATCGTGTCAAAGCAGCAGGAGGGGCAGGGATAAATCATGAAGCCGAGGAGGCACACGCGCAACGCCACCATCGTCCTCCTTCGCCAGCCTCATCCGCATCACCTGACATGCTCTACCACCTCATCGTGAAACCGAATCAAAGGCCGGAACTGATATCGTTCGGGAGGATGGGAGGGAAAGGGACATGGAGACTAACCTCGACGGACGGCGGGACCGAGAGGAGGTCGCAGTGGCGGCGGGCGCTGGAGAGGAGACGCTGCTAGGGTTTTGCCCAGCCCAAGCGCGAGGCAGTGCTGCTTATATTGCGCTTGGCCCGACGGACGCAGGCAACACAGTTGGGCCAAGTCGCCGTCCCGCAAGTCCAAAAATCCCATGGGCCGTCGATGATGTCGAGGTGGCGGGCGACGATGTCGAGGCATGGAGTTGGTACCGGCTCGGGTGGAGGTGGTGAGCGGCGGCGCAGAAGGGGCCATCGGGTGTCAGCCGCCGCCACGCCGTGAGCCAGAACCCTAGCTCCAGCCCCGGCGCCGCCTCGGCCTCCACCTCCTCCATGGCATCCTCCGGCCTCGGCTACATCCCGTCGCTCCGAGCGGGCCCCCCTCTGAGCCTCCGCTCGCCGCATGGGGGTGGGGACCGGATCTAGGCCCGCCGTGGCCGGATCTGCCGCCGGCCACCAGCCAGCACTCGTGCGCTGCCTCGGCCGAGGCTCCTCATTGTCGCAGTGGAGGCAAGGAGGAGGGCGAGGGAGGTGAGGAGGAGGCCAGATCTGCATGGGGAAGGCGAGGAGGAGGGCGAGGGAGGTGAGGAGGAGGCCAGATCTACGTGGGGAAGGAGAGGAGGAGGGCAGCGGAGGTGAGGAGGGGGTCGGATCTATGCGGGGAAAGCGAGGAGGAGGGCGGCGGAGGCGAGGAGGAGGGTGGGGGAGGTGAGGAGGAGGCCGGATCTACGCGGGGAAGGCGAGAAGGAGGGCGGCGGAGGCGAGGGCGTCGTGGTGTGGGAGGGAGGGAGGGAGGGAGGGAGCGAGCAGGTGGAGGCGGGGTGCGTGTGAGCGACCCGAGGAGGAGGAAGGAGGCTGCAGACTTTTGCACGTGCAGCGTCTGTAGGGGCGGCTGGTGATTGAGCCACCTCTATAAATCACAACACCGGAGGCGGCTGGTGAGTGAGCCGTTCCTACAAATCTACCCATTTGTAGGGGCGGCTCGTATCACCAGCTTGCCCCTACTATTAGATTTGTAGGGGCGGCTGGAATCATGGGACCCGAGCTCACCCACTGTAGGAGCGGTTGGTAGTGGAGCCGCCCCTATAAAAAAGCCCCTGTTGCTAAAAATCGTTTTTGTAGTAGTGCGAATTTGCTGAAATAGATTAAGCACTCAAAGTTGGGCTCTTACAAACCAATGAATAGCGGAACTATTCAATGATAGATTAATCTAAGTAAAATTCAAACCCTAACTTGGGGCGATGGCTATTGAATGTGTGGTCATAGGGTCGGACAAGGATCCCTGACGTGTCCCTAATGGAATCTGATGTGATAGACGGTCCAAAAGACAGTGACATAGCACCCTGAAAGATTCTATACGCCCACTTGTTTTGACGATTCCCTCAGGCTTGTAAAAACTTTGGACATAGGGCTAGTGCCATATATTGGAAATTTTATCTTCTTAGCTTTCCATGCACATGTAGAATGTAAAACGGAGTCTATATGTGATGTGAGCCACAAATTTACTGTGGGCTGCTCCTTAATTAAGTCCAAGGTGGAATCGAACTTGCTTGGGTCTCCAACTTAGTTTGGACGCCCATGCTGGTCTTCTCTGCATCCAAGCCTCTAGCCAAGTACTTCCTTTACCTCTCCATAGTTTCTTAGAATAATAATTGTAAGGAAAGTGACACCTAGCAGCAGGGGCGAAGCTACAAGGTCCGTACACAAAACTGATTTTTTTCTACAAGTGCAACAACACTGAAATATTTTATTTCAATATATGAGTTTTTTGCAGTATTGGATTATTGGTTTGATATATTGAAACATTATATAATTCTTTTGCAGAATTGTTGAAATATGATCGAAGAGGAGTGGTGATATTGAAACATATTGTTCTTCAACTATTATGGGTATGTAATATTTCATTTCTATGTTAAGAAAGTTATACTCATCTATTTTGTGAACTATGTTTGTCCTTTTTATCATTAATTGTGTTTTAATATACTTGTGTATGTATATGTTAAATTCATAGTGGTAAAAAAATTTAGACAATGGACCACCATAGCTACAAATCCTAGATACGCCACTGCCTAGTCGGAGTCGTATTTTGGTGATTGTATGATAACATGGTCAATGAGACTAACATTATTTGCTAGTATAGAGGGTTTTAGTTCTATAGATGCAGGGATGGACTTTGGTTTGCTATATTGAAGATCAAAGTAATCAACACCTCAAATGAAGTTCAAATAAAAGTGTTAAAGACCATAGAAGACATGAAAAGCACCCAAGACATCAAAAGTATTTGAAAGATCAAAGCCGAGACAAAGATGA